CATGAGGAAAATGACGAAGGCACAACTCCACCAAATGATCATGTTGATGGCCAGCTTTTCACGCCACGCCATACGAACATCTTTACGGGGGATCCGCCCGATGACTCGGATAGCCCAGTCAGGGATGAGCCAAGTCATGAGGTAAACAATGAAGACCCATCGCTTTCGGCTGCCGGAAACAGGGACTGTTTCGACCTCTTCCAGCTTTGCGTCTTCAGTCTTCTCATCCAAGGCCTTTGGCTGTTCCAAACCGTGGAACATGTCACCGTTGGTGATACCAGATGGGGCTTCTGAACGAGCATCAATGTCTCGAGCGCCGAAATAGTTGCCACCCTTATCATCATAGTATCCGCCAGGCGATGGTGAAAGCAGACCCGCTCGAGCATCGCCAAAAGAGCGGCCAGCATCAGGAGTGTGCAGATTATCATTGGAGTCAACTGGGCCGCGTGCGTAGGAAGTGACACCGGAGATGTTTGCAATCTCGAGCCAGCACTTCTCGCTCAGGAATACACCAGTGGCTCCGACGCGAACTTCATTCTCTCGCCATGGCTTTTGATCGAGAACCATCTCAGCCTTCTCCTTGTCGCTTCCCACGATAGCGAGATCAGTTTGAGCAAGTCCGAGGAATTCGGCAAACGGCATGAAAATGCTGTAATCAGCGACGCGCAAGCGTTGACTAATCTCAGCAATGCCCAAAGCCTGCACCTGCTGGCGCACGCATTTGCTGTCGAATTGGTTGGCAATTCTTCGGTCATTGGGCTTCAAGCAGAAGACGAAGTAGGCATTGGCCTTGCGGAGCGTCGACTCAATGGTCCTCAGAGAACTGATGAATTGACCTGCAGCACCAGTTTGCTTGGCCGATTCGCCAGGCTTCCTGACTCCTGAAGTGGTGCTCTCTGCATCGCTCATGGCGTCCTCGTCGAAAACGTTGAGAGGACGTCCAAAGCGGCCAGTCTTGTCAGCCTTGCGTTTTGCCATGCTTGGCTGGCGGGTAGGCTTGGAGCTGACGGTAGCCTGGACAATGGTGGATTTTTCTTTGGGATGAGACATCTTCTGCAGGGCCTCTTGTCCAAAAAGCTGTTGGATGAAAGGAGCCTGGGCAGACTTGAGCAGATGCATCATGTCACCAGAAATGAGTTCAGCGTTCTCCTCCATAAGACCCTCGACACTGTAGTCTACATCACCAGTGAAATGACGGATGGTGAAGGCAGGCGAGGTATTGGGTGTGGGGAAGTTGCTTCCCGGCTGCACGACTGTCAGGCTACCTGGAACAATGGCCTGGTTCTTTCCGTCAAAACGCTTGCGAATGGCCTCGAGGAACTGCATGTCGGTTTTACCACGACGCATTTGATCGTCAAGAATGCTGAGCAGTCCGTTGCCTGGCTTCATCAAGCCCGCCTTGACGGCAGTGTTGTCGTAGAATGCCATGGGAGGCAAGGAAATCTCTTCAGCCTCTAGTTCCTGGATTTGACGTTGGAAGAAGCTCTCCTGGCAGAAAGAGATCAAAGACTCATTGGCTGTGTTGTTGAGCAGCTGGTCTAGGGCTGAGCCCGTCGAGGCAAAGTTGGCAAAACCAGGGAAATCTACAAGGGACACGGTGTTGGAGATCTCCTCAGCAGGGACGGAGATTCTTGAGTTCATTTGCTCCATGACCCATGTGACGAGGAGTGAGTAGAGGGAGCGAGCCAGCTCATCTGCGTTGGCGCGGGCACCCTTGGGATCCAACATAACAGTGACACGCTCACGGTACAGCGTCTTGGACTTGTATCGCAGACTCTGCTCGAGACTGGGAATGGACACACCGAGGAACTGGGCAATGGGGTTGAGAGCTTCCTTGTTCTTGACAACAGTGATGGATTCACCACCCTCGTGCGAGTATCCACCGCTCTCGTCGGGTGCGGGTGTTGTGTTCTGGCCCATTTCAAACTCGAGCTGTCCGATGTGCAGAATGGTGGCCATGACCTCGCAAATGCCGGCAATGCTCTCCTTGCCAAACTCGAGCCTTCGGAGGGCAGACTTGAAGTCAGCAAAGCCCTTTGCATCGTCGATGCCCACTTTGAGCTGAGTAGGATGGCCGAGGTATCGCCATCTCTTGTTGGCGCCAATCGAGGCGCGGTTGCCTCCGGAACCGTCGCCACCTATGGCATCAAGGAACAGGTGCTTCTTTTCGTTGGGGCTGGTGCCGGCGAGGAGGTAGTAGAGGACATGGTAGGTACGCTCTCCGGTGGGGACCGAGGCGATGCGGCTGCGCTCGAGACGGTGTGCGAGGAACTGGGCACCGAGGAGAGTGGCGTGATTAGCGGTGGCGGTATTATACTGGAGCTCTAATAAGAGACCAGACTTGGAAGCTTGCGGGGTCGTGAGGGACTTTGTCGTGGTAAAGGCATCGAAAACGAAGTTTGCATGTTCAATCTTCTTGGAGAGGGGCGTGGACGAGTAGGAGAGGAAGGACCTCAGCATGTGACCGCGAATGGTCGTCTTTCCGGAGCCGGACTCGCCGCTGGACGGGGGGTTAGATACAGAAGACAGAGGTGCATGCTATGGGATGAGGAGGGACGTACAGGAAGACGACAGCCTGGTCCTCGGAACGTTGACCGAGACGAGTGTAGGCGCGCTGGGAGAGGTCCTCGGCGGCCTGCTGGGCACTTCCCTCCTTGCCGCCATCGACACCAAGACTCGAGTCTGTGCAAGTGTTGATGGCAACAATGCCTTGTGAGGAGAGATGGGCAATGGGGAGATGTGCGTGGTAGCGACTGGCGAGGGCAGAAGTCAGGCCCGTGTCGTTTTGCTGATGCTGGGGCAGCGAGGGCAGCGAGGGATTCTGCAGCGGGTTGGAAGCCATGGTGTGCAGACGCGTCCCCGTGGGAGCGTGAGTAGCGACCGTGGAAGTCAGGCAAGGGCGGCCGCGAATTCAGACGGCAGGAGCGGGTGAGATTGAGGAGGTGCTGGCTGGGTAGGGTGAATGTCTACGACAAGACAGCGGCGGCCGTGTCCGTAGGGCTGGGCTGCACAACTAGGGGGGCGGACAGAGCAGCCAGAAGAAAAAAACGAAGGCGTCACGACAAACGAAGTGACTGGCAGGCCCAAGAAGAGGAATTACAAACAGCGAGCGTGATGAAAGGTTTACAGTACAAACGAACGAAGGTAGAAGACGTCCAGGGCCGTTGCTAGTAGCTGGCAAAGGGGTCTCGGTGGTGGAATACTGGCCGTCTGCGAGATGCGAGGGTGCATGGGCCGTGGTATGCCTGTAGCTAGCCAGTTGCTAGTACGCTTTGCCCGACGGGCGCACAGATCGAGACATGGCGCGGGTTGACCAGGAGACGCAGCGATCACGAAAAGGGGGCGCAAAAATAGAATAGAATACAGCACAAGCGGGCTATTGCGTCTCGCATCCGCCTCGACGGCTCCACCCGTCTGCTTTGGTTGATGCGGCCAAGCAGGAGAAGCCTCTGCGGAGCATTTCCAATTCTTTGGCACCCACGGCAATATGACCGTTTCTTGCTCAACGCTCTCCAGGATACATGGGCGGGGGAGGAGACGAGACGAGAGGGGGAAACAAGCACAAATGCACCACCAGAGGGTGCGCTGTGGCCGTCCGGTAAAGGATTGTTGAGCCTGTTGACTGCGGAGGCGGAACTATGGGGAAGAAGAAGCAGACGAGCAAGCTGAAGAAGCAAGACATGACTTACCACTACTGGTGTTCGCAGCGCAGGCCAGCAAGTCGGGTGGCGGCAACGACGCCTACTGACTGCATGTTGCAATGCACTAGAGGGCTGGGGAGGGTGTATCGATTGCGTAGCCAACGTTGCAGTCGTCAGCTCGAGACACGGCTGCTCCCAGAGAAGCGGACCATCACGTGACTGCCGATTCTGCACACCAGCGCTAGAATCTATCGAGGCCCACCGCTCCACCAGGTCGAGGGCGGACCACACACGCACACACACGAGCACATGTCCGTCAGTACGTCCGTCCGTACTATATACACACGCTACACATGTACGCATGTCCATCCTGCACCATTCATAGGTACATCCAATACAGGGCCATACTGCTGACCGAGCACAAAGGCGGAGGATTGACTCGTCTCCTGATGCGCGTGCGTGGCCAAATTGAGAGGTGAAACGGTCGTCGACATGGCGGGCGAGGCGTGCACATGTCCCCCGTAGATGAAGGGGGAGCCCGTGTGAATATTGGGAAATGCATGCCAGGCCTGCGACACCACGACCACCGCGGCCCCCCTGCGCTCGACAACAAGATTTTGATCATGGCGCCGGCAGCGATCCCCACGGGCCCAGGCGGGCAGCGGGCAGCCGTCGCCTGCCTCTTCTTTATCGATACCTGACTGGCGGCATGGCATGACATTGTCTGACAAGCAAAAACGCGCATCCTCGTTCGTTTTTTGCCATCACGCCGCCCATTGCTCGCCAGACTTTGTCCATCAACGGCACAAAACAGTAAACGGGCTAAATATAGGGGGGTGGGTAGGCTCGTCAGCCTTCTTTTCCGCCAGCGCCACCCGCTCGTATTGGACCACGGGGACGACGAGGACCAAGAGCCGCCATCCATGTTTGGTTGCGTAGTAATGCATTGATGCTGCTGCACCCGCTTCATCGCCATCCATACACGCCGCCCTACTAACCCCCCCTAACCATACCGCGCCATTCCGCTTTCGTTCTGGCCGCCCATCCCCCATCGCCTCGAGCCAACAAACATCGCCGGCCTGCTCTGCTGCTCTCTATCTGCGTCCGACGAGTCTCTCTCGTTGTGTATGTGTGTGTGCCGTTTTCTTCTTTCTTCATACAGTCGTTTAATCCATTCACTCGCTATCCTGCCTCTTGCTGTCGCGTCCAGCACCAGGCGCTAATCCACATCTCCTCCCGCCCGTCCCTGACACTTTGGGACCGTGGTACACTTGACACGCCCTTACACCTGGCAAACCCTCGTTATAGCATCGACGCCCACGCATCTACAGAAGGGGCGACCCGCCTCAGCCCGTCACCATGAGCTTCGTCAACAACTCCCGCATGTCCGTCTACTCGACGGCCTCGACTTCCGCGCCGCGTGGTGGAGCCCAGCCCACGCAGACTTCCACCACCACGCTGCTCAACACCCTTAACTCGGCATACAAGAATGGCCGCTCATACAACCTTGAGGCCAGCACCAGCCTCGTCGTCAACACCTGGGTCAATGCCAAGAGCATCATTGACAACCGTATTGGCGGCACCGTCGACCTCGAGCTGGGCCGCAAGGCGTGGGAACACGCTCGCAGGAGAGCAGAAGACGGGTGCATAGTTCTGGCGTAGGCTCTTCCCAATCACGACTGCATTTCGTGCCATTTTCACTAACAATACTTCAGTTCGCTCCATGAATCAAGCCCCTCGCTATTTTCTCCCTTCGTGTCTAGTCTGCCGCTCTCGCTTCCCTCCAACTTTTACATCGCCCTTGAGGCTCTCAAGGCATTCACCCACTGTGTCACCCCCCAAAATCCTTCCGCGCCCCGATACTCTGCATTGGCCTCCATCTTCACTATTAATCTTGCTGGTACTGTTGTCGGTGCCGAGATCAAGCTGTCCACATCCGGCCTTGATGTCCAACAGGGCCTACTCCAGATTCCCTCGCAAGCCGGTTTCCGTGCGTTTGACGTCTTTTACTACCTCAACTCCAGCTCTGCATCGAGACAGGAGAAGGAATATCTCGACATCCAGTCCCTCGACAAATACGCCCTTCTCCGCCGCTCCGGCACCTACGAACCCCCTTCTTACCTCCCCGATGCCGACGATGCCGCCGCCGCCGAGGATTTCCGCGCCAACCTCAAGGCTATTGGCATCAAGGGTCAGAAGATGACCAGCCTCATCAGCTGCCTGACTGGTCTGCTCAAGCTTGGCAATACCTTGGACTACTTCATGGATGAGGAGTCTCTTGCAGCCGTGTGCGAAGATGTCGAGACTCTCATGGATCTGCCCGAGGGCACCCTTCGCCAGAAACTCGCCTCCAACGAGCGCGAAGTTGTCATCGGTGGTCTCTACGAGGCTATTGTGGACTTTGTCATTGTCCACGCCAATGCCTCCATCAAGAGCGAAATCCAACGCGCCAAGAATGGTTACGCTATGGATGACAGCGATGGCAGTGGTATCATGACACCTGGTGGATCCGAGGACGGAGACATTGTCAACATCACTGTTGTCGATATTCCCAGCCGTGAGCTTGGTAAGGCGGTCGCACTTCGTACCGTCTTCGACGATAGCGAAGGCATCAATGCCGAGATGCGCGAAGACGGCGTACCCGTACCCCCAGTCGCTAACGCGGTGCTTGAGAGCATGAGGGAGGCCATGCAAGTCTGCGGTGCCGACCTGGGTATCAATGGCGCAGCTCTGCGCGAGAAAGAGGGCGACTTGGAGAGGCGCGAGACTGTCCTAGACAAACTCGGTCTCGAGATTCCAGACCAAGACAACTTCGTGAAGAAACTGCTATACCCCGTGCCCAACGGCGGTATCGTTCTCGGCAAGCACGGCCGCTTCGATCTGGCCATGACTGTGGCTAGCAGCAGAGTCTGGTTTCAGCTCGCACTTCACCCCTCCGACAGCATCCCTACATCCTTGAACCAGGATCTGAACTCCACATGGCAAGCGGGTGTCATCTCCCGCCAACTACGTGAGTGGCGTCTCCCAGAATGGGCCAACCGACGCAACCGCAACCTTGACTTCACTGCTGATTTTGATCACCACGAGTTCCATGACCGATATGCTCCTCTTGGTTGCATGGACGGCCAGGAAGGTATTCAAAATTGGGTTCTACAGCGTGGCTGGAGCAACGGCGAAGTTGTGGTTGGAAAGGAGCGTGTATGGGTCAGAGAAGGCGTATGGTGGGAAGCAGAGTCACAACTCGACCTCAAGACCCAAGAATTTGGTGCTTCTGGCATCATGGGAGGCATGGTTGGTGCTGGTGCTATGGACAGCGCATACAACAATCAGCTCCCACCCACTGCGAGCACCTTCTTCCCGCCTCTTCCCGACGCGCGATCGGCCACTCCTCAAAATCCGTTCCAGAGCACGACTAGTCTTCACGCGGGCGTTGCTGCGGATGCCAAATCTCTTGCTCCCACCGCCCTTACAGTTCCAACTACTGGACCTGGTGATTACGGTCTTGGTATGAAAGGCGATGAAAACAAGGGTGTCTCTTACTTTGATCTCGAGAATTCCGGCAATGGTGTCGTCACTCAGACCAGTTTGACCACTTCCCGAAGAATATGGGTTGCATTCGTCTGGGCAGTCACATTTTGGGTCCCTTCACCACTGCTCAAATGGGTTGGGCGAATGAAGCGACCTGATGTTCGCATGGCATGGCGAGAAAAGCTCGTTCTGGTTATACTCATTATGCTGCTCAACGCGACCATTGTCTTCTACATTGTCGCTTTTGGTAAACTCCTGTGTCCCAATAAAGACAAGGTATGGAACACGAAAGAAGTGGCCGCTCACCAGGGCGCAAAGGATTACTTTGTCAGCCACCACGGTACTGTCTACGATTTGACCTCTTTCTGGAAGAAGCAGCACAGTGACTCCAACACGGAGACCACCAACGAGCGCATGATGGAAATGGCCGGAGCCGACATGGACCCCTACATCATCCCCCCGCTATATCTTGCCTGCCCCAATCTCATCCAGGATACCCCCCAGAACCGTGTCTTGCAGTTGAAGCTCAACACCTCCATCTCAGAGAGCCTCAACTCTCTGGCTGTGCACACTTCCGGCTCGCAAACCAACATGCCTGACAGCAAGGCTTTGAAACAAGAAGACTGGTACCCCAAAGTGTTCCTCCCGGCTATCAAACAATACCGCAAGGGAGAACTTGTCTGGAAAATTGACGACATCAAAAATCAAGGCCAAGACAACAACCGCATGTGGTTCAGGCTCAAGGAAAAGGTTTACGATTTGACAAACTACTTCGTTACAATCGACTATATGCAAGACCTTCCCCAGTACAACTTCCTCGACCCCAAACTAGTGGACATGGTTAAGAACAACGCCGGTGGCGAGCTTTCGGAGGACTTTTCGAACAAACTCAACGACACTTCACAAGCCTTCAATCTTCAATGCCTGGACAATCTCTTCTACGTTGGTAGGACGGATTTCCGTAAGGATGCCAAGTGTGTGGTCAACGATTACATCCTTCTCGCCTTTACCATTATGCTCTGTTCAGTCATTGTCATCAAGTTCTTGGCTGCTCTCCAATTGGGTTCCCGAAAGCGCCCGGCCAACCAGGACAAATTTGTCATTTGCCAAGTTCCAGCATATACCGAAGGCGAGGACTCTATCCGAAAGAGTGTCGACTCTCTCACTGCTCTCGCATACGACAACAAGCGCAAACTCATCTGTGTCATTTGTGACGGAATGATTGTCGGAGGTGGTAACGATCGCCCTACCCCCAAGATTGTGCTCGACATTCTTGGTGTTGATCCCAAGGTCGACCCGCCAGCGCTTCCCTTCTGGTCTGTTGGTGAAGGAAGCCAGCAGCTCAACTACGGCAAGGTCTACTCCGGTCTCTACGAATTTGAAGGCAACGTTGTTCCGTACATTGTGGTCGTCAAGATGGGCAAGGAGTCTGAACAATCCAAGTCCAAGCCTGGTAACCGTGGAAAGCGTGATTCTCAGATCTTGCTCATGAGCTTCCTCAACCGTGTCCACCACCGATCTGCTATGAACCCTCTCGAGCTTGAAATGTTCCACCAAATCAACAACATTATCGGTGTGGACCCTGAGCTGTACGAGTATCTGCTCATGATTGATGCCGATACCCTAGTCAAGCCTGATTCTCTCAACCGTCTTGTGGCAGCCTGTACCCACGACTCCAAGATTGCCGGTATCTGTGGTGAGACGAGCTTGGAAAATGAGGACAGATCCTGGTGGACTATGATCCAAGTTTACGAGTACTACATTTCGCATCATCTGTCAAAGGCTTTCGAAAGTTTGTTTGGCAGTGTTACCTGTTTGCCTGGTTGGTGAGTATTTTGTCATTGACTCCATGACTACACCGTTACTAACGTGCTTTAGTTTCACTATGTACCGTCTCCGTACTGCCGACAAGGGCAAGCCTCTGCTTATCTCGGACAAGATCATCAAGGACTATGCCGACTGCGTTGTTGACACACTGCACAAGAAGAACCTGCTCTCACTTGGTGAGGATCGTTATCTGACCACCTTGATGACCAAGTACTTCCCTCACATGTCGTACAAGTTTATTCCCGACGCCTACGCTCTCACTGCTGCTCCTGATACCTGGAGCATTTTGCTTTCTCAGAGACGTCGATGGATCAACTCCACCATTCACAACTTGGCTGAACTTGTCTTCTTGAAGGATCTCTGCGGTTTCTGTTGTTTCTCCATGCGATTCGTCGTCTTTGTCGATCTTTTCGGTACTCTCATCCTGCCATCTATTTGCGCATACTTGGTCTACCTAGTCTACATGGTCTCTTCCGGCACAGGACAATTTCCCTTGCTGTCCATTATCATGTTGGCTGCCGTGTACGGTCTGCAGGCACTCATCTTCATCATCAAGCGACAGTGGCAACACGTTGGATGGATGATCATCTACATCATGGCGTTCCCCATTTACTCACTGGCGCTTCCCATGTATTCGTTCTGGAAGCAGGACGATTTCTCGTGGGGTAACACTCGTGTCGTTATTGGTGAACAAGGAACCAAGCAAGTCCTCACGACTGACGAAGAGGGTTTTGATCCAAAGGCCATTCCCATGATGCGATGGGACGAGTACGCTGAACGCAACGACCTCCCTGGTCGCCGTGGTCTCCCCGGTATGGGTACTGAGAAGGGCGGCTTCAACGCACACGAGGACGAGGCTTACGAGATGAACGACATGCAATCCGTCTACTCGTCAGTCAAACCAGCATCGACCGTCCTGTCCAACATGCATCACATCTCGCACATGCCACCTCAGTCTCCCGGTCCCTATCAGGGCATGCAGGGACGCCAGTCGACATACTCGCACATGACGCGGTACCAAGACAACCCACAAGACGGCCGTCTCATGTCCATGGGCAACATGAGCGACCACTACCGCAACAACACGGCGTCTCCCTATGGCCAACGCCAGAGCATGGCCGGCTTCCAGAGCTCGGACAACCTCATGGCGTCTACACCACCGATTCGCGGACGAAGCCCTCTTAGCTATGGTGCCAGCCAGTCACGCCCAGGCAGCACTACCAACTTCCAGACCATGATGAACGGACCTAGTGATGGTCAGATCATCGAGACTGTACAGGCGTGTCTCAAGGACGCGGATCTGGACCGGGTAACGCGCAAGCAGATCATCGCGCTTGCTGAGCAGAGGCTGCAAGTGCAGCTGACGGGCGAGCGCAAGATTTTCCTTGCCCAGGCTATTGATCACGAGCTTGCCAACATGGCTTAAGCAGTGAGGATAGAGCAAGGTTGAAAAAGGTTGCATTTAGCGGTGTTTGTTTGTTACATGTTTTGCACGATGCATGCAGTCTATCATTTGATTGTACATTTTGCACACGGGCGTAAACCAAGTAGGAAAATGCGGGAATCTCTTGTTTTTCGGTTGTATTGACATTGTTGGGTTGATGTGAAGTGTAATAAGGAGTTGCTACGTACTTAGACAAATAAGGATCGAATCGAACCTCAGGGAATGTTTTGTATGTTTTGCTTTATGGTATGAACGTTGTGATTTGAGGTCGTTAGAGTGAGCTGTAGCTGCTGTTTAACAGTCTACATGGGTGCTAAGCTTATGGTTTGGTGGTGGAGAGGATGACGACGATGGGGTGTCGCGGGTTCGGCTAGTCAGTAGCAGCCCGATGGATGGTACGTACCCACCCCCGGGCCAGCACCAGTCGCGGCCAGACAGCTCCGCCATCCCGACCGCCCGCAACTGTACCCAAACGTCTCCCATACCGCCTTGGTTTACTTTACTTTACTTTCCTTTCCTTCTCAAGGCATACATCACTCCTGCAACATGGCGCCGAATCGCATCGAGCAGGATGAAATCGAAAAGTACTGGGAGATCTTCAGCTCACTTAGCAATGGCGGTACCCATCTAGACGGCGCGCAGGCCGCCCCTGTGCTCAAGAACTCGCACCTCCGAGACGATCAACTAGAGCGCGTGTGGGATCTTGCGGATGTGGACAATGACGGCAAGCTGGACTTTGAGGAGTTTTGCGTGGCTATGCGACTCATCTTTGACCTGATCAATGGGGTATGTCGCACACGACAAAGTCAGGCATCATATGCGTACTAATCAGGGTCTCGTAGGTATCGGTCGATGTGCCTAAAGTCCTGCCCGACTGGCTAGTGCCTGAATCAAAAGCACACCTTGTGCAAGCGACACGCGCTCTTACCGGTTCACAACCCGCATACGAGACGGTCGAAGACGATGACGACACACCGGGCCTGCGCGACGGCTTCGACTGGTACATATCACCCGGAGACAAGGCCAAGTACGAGGAAATCTACACTGCGAACCGCGACGGCCACGGCAACATCACCTTTGACAGCCTGGCTGGGCTGTTTGACAGTCTCGAAGACGTGCCAGACTCGGACATACGCTTTGCATGGAACCTGGTCAACCCAAAGGCAAGAGAAAGTGTAGGCAAAGACGCTGCTCTGACTTTCCTGCACATTCTCAACCAACGAAGCGAGGGATTCCGCGTCCCACGCAGTGTGCCCCCGTCGCTACGGGCAAGCTTCGAAAAGGCGCACATAGACTACGACATCAACTCTAGCGCTAACTCGCGATGGGCGGCCTCGCGCGATGAGAACACAGCCTCGGGCCGCAAAGCAAAGTTTGGCGACGCATACCTCACACGCCTGGGTGTCGGTGACCGCGCGAACAGCTACGGTGCGCGAGGCGGAAAGGGCACTGATTTTGGTGGCCGCACAACAGAAGACTGGGAAGAGGTCCGGCTTAAGAAGCAGCTGCGTGAGCTTGAGCAAAAGATGGCGGATGTGGAGAAGGAAGTCGAGAAGAGGCGGCATGGCCGCAACACAGATAGCAAGCCGGCACTGGTTAAGCGTGAGTTAGAGCTCTTGCTTGACTACAAGCGCAACGTGCTCAAAGAGCTCGACAATGACGACGGAGGTGCAGTCAAGGGGCTGGGCGGTATTAGGGAAGAGATTGAGACGGTGAGAGAACAAGTTGAGGGGTTACAGGCGCATTTGGAGAGTAGAAAGGCCGTGTTGGAGGATCTGAGGAGACAGATTGAGGATGAGAGGTAGAAAGCTGGGGAATATAACTTTAGACGTGATCAAAAGTTGTAATTTAATGCATGGATAACAAGGGTTGTCCACCATTAGAAATTTCATTCAGCAGACTTTGTATGCTTATGTCATGATCAATTTCTCAGAATTATCTGTTACATACATTCGCATTTGTACAAGATTCTCCAGACAATCCACCCAGATCCAAAATAAACAATTGGAGTAGTGATTAACAACAATGAAAAAGAGATCATCGATACAACAACCCCTCCACCTCTTCTGCAATAGCCAAACAACTCGTCAACCCAGGACTCTCAATCGCCAACAAATTAACCCATCCCTCAAACCCATCCTCCTTCTCAATATAAAAATCCTGAAACCCTTTGCCGGCATTCGTTGCCGCCAACTTCCCCAACTTGGGTCGTATACCCACGTAATCCGGGGCTATGGCATCAGCCTGCACGCCGGGTAGATACGTCTTGATGTCTGCAATAGCGGCAGTCAGGTTCTTGGTGTTCGGAGTGTAGTCCGAGGGCGAATCCGTCCACTCGACGTCCGGCCCGAAGCGGATGCGGCCAGAGAGGTCGAGCGTCAGATGCGTGCCCAGCCCCGCGTGGCCTGGTATAGGAGCGGGATAGATGAGGGTGGATGTGCGGGGGCGGGAGCTGCTGTACGAAAAATAGGAGCCTTTTGCGTAAAAGGCGGTTTTCTGGCGTGAAGGGGGCAAGATGGTGTTGGAGAGGGGGATGGCGTAGAGGCCTGCGGCGTTGATGAGGGTTTCTGCTGTTATGGTGCTTGTTTCTTCGGTCGTCGTCGTGGTGATTTCCCAGCCTCCGCGGCCAGAATCTATCGGTGTGATACGGGTGACAGGAGAGTTGAAGGCGCAGATTCCGCCGTTGTTTTCAAAGTCGCCTTCGAGGTACTGCATTAGGCTGTGGGAGTCTATGATTCCTGTGCTGGGACTCTCGAGGACGCCTGCTTCGGCGCGGACCTCGGGTTCTCTTGTTGCTGCCTCTTGTTTACTTAGGAATCTTGTCGGTACACCGATGGTCTGAGCGAAGTCGTGCACTTTTTCCAAAGCTTCCATTTGCTCGGTATCTTGTGCTACAATCCATTTTCCCGTGTTGCGGTGGGGAATGCCTTGTTGGGCACACAGTTCGTACAGCAAGTTTTTGCCTCTGATGCAGAGTTTGGTTTTTCGAGAAGAGGGGCCATAGTATAGCCCTGCGTGTATGACTTCGCTGTTCCGTGAACTTGTCTCTGTGCCCGCGGTTCCATGTTTCTCTATCAGGACTGTCGAGGTTGAGGGCCGAGATTGCAATTTACGGGCTATGGCAAGTCCCACGACGCCACCACCTATCACAGCGTGTGTGAAGTCTGCATCTAGGCGAGCTGTGCATGTAAAGGATCTATGAAGAGTTCTTGAGTGTTTGGGAATTTTCGGCGTTGCACGTTGGACGGCGCGAAGTGATAGCATGTTTAATTGCGAATAGTGATGAAAGAAAAGTGTACGTAGGCAAGTAGGGCTACACAGAACCATACGATGACCAACAAGACATGAGAAATTGCGAGATATCGACCATGCAAGAATTGAAAGCTTACTTCGTTGTATCAAGTTTGTATCGATAACCAATGCTTATCTGATCCCTGCAATACTTTCCCGTGACGTAAGGTAAGCTTGTCGTGTGTTCCTGACGCTAATGCAGCGGGGTCTTGCAATCGTGACCGTTCCATTGGAGCCTTTGCACCACATCTTCTGTCATCTATCTAGACGACTTGAGAAAGCAAAAACGCACCCTCCTATTACGTTTCCTAATCAAGTTATACACAGCCTCTTGACTTTGACGGCCTTGCTCATCTCTGCCTAGCTGTGCCCCTCACTCTCCTAGACAGTGCCGTCATCACACTCCGTCTACTACAAGCAATCACGACAACATCCATTGCCGCTTTGGATGTTAACAAGGGCATTCAAGAACACGACAAGGAAAGCGACCAAGGCGACACACAATCGTCTATTCCACAGCACACCCTGCCCTTCCACATCCACACTTGTATCCCGCGTCAAAGCCGTAACAATGGCCTCGAACAATAACAAGGCAACGCCCAAAATAACTTCTCTCACGGACCTCCCCTCATCAGAGGCAAAATGGATCAAACTGCAAAAAGCCACCTACACCGACGCCCACGGCGCATCCCGCGTGTGGGAAATTGCTAGCCGCAAGACAACCGGGAGCGCAGGCGTCGACGCCGTGGCCATGGGTAACATCATCTACCACCCCAGCAAGCCACCATCGACCATCGTGGTGATCCAGTTCCGTCCACCCGTCGGTGGATTTACCGTCGAGTGGCCTGCCGGCCTCATCGACAAGGATGAGACGCCCGAGGAAGCAGCGGTGCGTGAGCTATACGAGGAGACAGGGTACAAGGGCACCGTTGTCTCTACCTCTCCGGCTGTAGCTGCGGATCCCGGCATGACGAGTGCGAATCTGTGTCTATGCATGGTGGAGATTCATCTGAAGGAAGGGGATCCAGAGCCCGAACAGCATCTGGATGAGGGCGAGGATATCCAGCGTGTTAATATTCCTGTAGCTGAGTTGTACACGCGGCTCGAGGAGTTTGCCAAGGAAGGGTACGTGATTGCGGCGAAATTGTATCACTGGGCGGCAGGCGCACAGTACGCGATTGACCACCCAGAGTTGTTCCAGAAGGCGGGGAAGAAGGCAGCGGGTAGCTTGTAATATGTACGCTGCTGGGTACTTCTGTCAACTGGTCATGCCACTATCAACATGTCTAGAATCAATTCTACATATCAAACAGATGTCGTACTACGAAATACGCTACTCGACATCCAACAACCAGCTGGCCAAGGCCTTCAGAGGTTGCACTTGTATGAAAGCCGACAATAGTTGAACACTATTCACTTGGTCAAATCACTCTCCAGCAAGGTCATCACATGGAAAACGTTTGACAATCTCTTAGGAAAAATACATATCAATGCTCTTCTTTTTCAAAATATAGTCTAGACATTAAGCACAACGGTTTATCCAGCCCATCACATGGTCCCATGTACGTGTATCAACCTTAGCAAGGCTTTTTGTAATCAAGAGCTCTCCACCCATGAGCGACGCCATGTCATAATCTGCTGACGTCGTGCAGCAAACCGTAATTTTTCCAGTCAACCCCCCAGTCATTGTATAGTGATAGCCAAAAAGTGTTATATACACCAATAAAAGTCCGCAAAGCCACAAGCTGTGTGGTGCTTTGCTGATAAACGCCAGAAAATCCAAATGCATGACAAAGTGCAAGACCATGAGGAAAAGGGAATGCTAGAACGCCTGTTGAGCGACTACTGGAGTTGCAGACGGAACAAGAACCGAAACGCTCAAACGAAAATGGGATTGCGCTTATTTGCTAGGCTTCTGCTTGCTGAGCCTGTTTCGCTTCTTGGAGTCAGTCGAATCACTGCGTCCGTGGCTTGCGGCAGGGATGACGGGCTGGCCAAGTGGCGCAGGTGATACGTCGCGCATCAGACTGCTCTGTTGAGGGGCCTGAAGCTCAATGTCATCGCCTGGTGTAGTCTGGACGTAGCTCTGGTACGCAAGAGGACTGCGTCCCTGTCGTTGGTCCATGCTGTTTGAGCGGTTGTATGATGGCTTTGGCGACTCGAGAGGAGACTTCTGTCCAGCGGAGAGAGGTGAGGTGCGCGATTGTCCCAGTTGTTGGGTGTTCTTAGAGTTGTAGACTGAGTCGTCGTCGACTGAGTCAACAGACTCGCTGTACATGCCCTTGCTAGCGCCGGCACCGACTTGGTAAGGTCCAGTGCGAGGCTCCTCGAAGAAGGCACCACCAGCAGGCTTCTGAGTTTGTTGCGTCTTGTGGTATACACGGGCATCTTCGGGATCCATGAAACTCTCGACACGACGGGGGAGGTAGACCGAGTTGTTGGCAGAAGTGTCGTAGGAGGCGAACGAATCCATCGAAGTACGTGGGTGCAGAGGAACGTGAGGGACGTTGGGGTTGCGGGGCATGGTGTTAGGCAGAGTGAGACCAGAGTCGTTGCCTTGCTGGTACCATCCATTGGGCAAGCGCTCTGCAGCAGCAAAGCGTCCATCGATGTTGTCTGAGGGCTGGAGAGGGGCACCGCCGGCGTGGGACTTCTTGGCCTCGGCGGCAGCCTTGAATGTCTCGGGAACGACATTGAGATCATCACCGTTGGCCTCTGCATTCTCAATAGCTTCCTGGGGAGTTGTTTTGGCATCGGCAGTTCCAGCATCAGCACGAGGACCTCCCCATGTACGCTGACCGGCAGTGAAGATACCGTAGACCATGTACATCCAGTTGAAGAAGGGGTTGATGACGAACATGAGGGGGTACAACATGATCTTGTAGCGGCCGAGCTTGGCACCAAAGTACAACATGAGAAGCCAGTTGAGTCCAAGGGAGATGGCGATGAAACCAACAGGCAAGTTCTTGACTGCTTGCGAAGTGGTCATGAGAGAAATGCACAGGATGAAGAAGAGGAGGGCAGTTGTTCGGATGGTATTCTGCATGAAGCGAACGACGAGAAGGATGGGGTAGCGCTTCCAGAGACGGATGTCAGTCAACATGCACACTTCGTTGGTGATGAAACCCAGGAACCAGCGGCGACGTTGCTTGAGCAGCGATTGGTAGGTTTGCACAGCTTCAGTCTTGCAGAAAGCACCGGGGTTCATCTGGATCTGATAGCGTTCCTTGGCGCCGACCATGAACAAGTGGGTGAGCCAACGGTCCTCGCCCAAGTGGCACTTGCCGTAATCGAAGAGGTCGTCACATTGCTCGGCCTTGTCAGCGAAGTAGTACTTTGCCATTTTGCGGAAGGCCGAGAATCGAAGCATAGTAAGAGCACCGGGCAAGCAGGTGACAGCACCGCAACCAGATTCGACCGAACGCTCAAATAGTTGACCGTGAACGTATTCCATGTCCTGGAGAAGAGTGATGAGGGACTGCTTCTCGGTTGTCGATGTAATGACACCAGTCTGAGCCAACATGTTCTTCTTGCTACCAGGCTTGAGCTCCATCTCGTACATGAAGTTCTGAATGCACGTTTTGTCGAGGATACAGTCGGAGTCGATGAAGAGCACGAACAGGTTGTCGTTGCGCTTGAGGTACTCGGTGTAGATCTTGTCAATCAGCTTAAAGGTCCTCTTCTGGCAGTGACGCTTTCCACCGTGAGGGAAACGCGAGATTGTGATACGGCAGCTACGGTAGATGACGTCGATGGACTTTGGGTACGAGTCGAGAGTAAGGGGCACACCGAGCTTCTCGATGGTGTTGAGGTAGAGCTCGTCCTCCTGGTCTCCGTCGAACGAGAGGAAAATGTGCAGGCAAGAAGGTGGATATTCACAGTCGACGAGCGAATCGCAAGTTCGCAGCAGAATCTCAGGAATCTCCTTGTAGCAGGGCATGACAATGACGACCTTGGGAGCCGACGACTCGTCAAGGACCGACTTGATCCTGCGGGAGCGGCCAACCGAGTGGGTGACTAGTTGGTAGACGCAGAACAGCCAAGGAACCGTCAGGAGACCAGCAAAAGACCAAAAGGCAAACCACTGGAGGAAGCTAACCATTTCCTGGGGAAAGTATTTGGTGACCTGCGGGGGGAGCGGCAGGGTGACGACCATGATGGGCAAGAAGATGGCACTGTTGCTGTCAGAAGCAGTTTTTTGTGGGTGGGAGATGTAGCTTACCGGAGAAGGAAGAAGAGGATACCGAAGAAGATGGACAGAATGCGCACGCTCATGGTCTCTGCCTTTTGGAAGACCTTGACGATGCAGTACATGAACGCGGCGACCCAGAGAAACCACTCGAGCAGGGCCATGAGCATGAGAGGGGCGATGATGGAGACATAGACGATCTGGGGCGGTCAGTGAGCAGGGAAACGACAAGTTTGGGGATAAAACAAAACACTTACGTCTTTTGTTGGCCACGGGTCGGTGAAGTCAGGGATACTGTCATCTGCTCGGGCAACGAGGCCCATGAGGTGGTGCGAGGCCATTGTGAATAATTAGGAGGAGTATGGTGGTCGTGGTATCGTTGGGGTAGAAGTAGCGAGTGTTGATGTCTGTCGCGGACAGCTCTGGAGCGAGTGTGAAAGGTGCAGGCGTAGCGGCTGCGCCGTGGAGTTGAGAAGCAACAGCAGCAGCAGCAGCAGTTGAAGTAGTGGTAGTGGTACGAGACTAGAAAATGGTCGTATAGGGCGACAGTGAAGAGTGGGATTGCACAAATGCGGTGCACACGGAGCCTGGTGCTAGCAGTCGATGGCGGCCGTGGCTTGTGGCTTGGGCGGCAAAGGCAGCGGTAGCAGTAGCGCTGGCGGCAGGGCTTTTAATCCAGTGGGGAGGATGGAGGGTGCAGAGCCGTGGTAAACGAGTGTAAAGGTTGGGAACAAAGGCAGCAAACAAAGGCAGGGCTCAGTGCAGGACCATGGACGATGATAAGGCGAGGAGCAACGGCCAGGATGGGAGAGGAAGAAAGCAAGCAGATGCAAAGAGGCGCCTGCAGGTGAAACGGAACAAAAGTCGTCGATGGTCTCGCAGCGGGACTGGCCTGGTTTACAGGCTGGTGGGAGACACAGCGGACGCGCTCGGGCCACACACCATATCCCAGAGGGGGCTAGCGGGGCTGGGCGGCAGTTGGAAGGCGCGATCGGCACAGGGGAGGGCGGCGCCCGCTTAGGCAGGCCTGCCCGCGTCCTTGACTCGAAAACGAACGTCGTGCAGGGGCGGTGGGCGTGTGCGTGTGTCGCTGCCACCACATAAGTACTACCAACTATTGCACGCGCTACTCGTCGTCCATTGCACGTTTATTTTGGGCGCCGGCCCCCTGCCGTCTCTGGTTCCCTGTCTGGGTTTCGCTTGCTGGCTGGTTCCATCCGACGCGGTTGCTGGCCAGCCCCAGGGTTTGGCTCTTGGAACAGCAGCATGCGTGCTACTAGCGAGCATGGCAGTTGGCGCCCTCCTCCATCCACGGCTCACGGCAGAGGTCAGAAGCAGGAAGCAGGGAAAAAAACTCAACGGTCACAATAGCCGCGACAAAAACCCACGTCATGAGGACGATGGCACTGTAACATGACGTCCTGTCACCGCATGCGCATGGCGATTGGAGATTAGGACGCTGCTTCCATGCCGCTACGTGCCTATAGCATTGCCAAGCCCTGGCTAGCCTCGCCCGCCTCTGCCTACAATACTGGGCACTCACTCAGGGGGCTTGCACACCCATATCCACCACACCATACCGCACCACCTCCCCAGACACCCAAACTTGTCAGCCGCCATGCGCCGCTGCCGTTGCTCCCCTCTAGTGTAGCATCATCCAACTCCTAGTCGTCGACTCATGTTTGGCCTGAAACTCCGACGGCAAGGCTGTCTGTCATGTCCATCTATCACACTGCGCGCGGGAATCGCTGTTCGCTCGTACTCTGCCCGTGACAACAAACGCTCCGCTGCTTCCGTCTTCCCCCCCTTTCCTTCGGCTTCTCCTGCGCCGCTATACCGGGGAGCATTGAGCGCTAGGAAAAATACTCTTGCCAAAATACGAGCATGCAGTGGGGATGCTAGAGCGACCCGCTTCAAGAAAAAAAAAGCACAAGGCGGCTGTGGGAATCCCAACACCCTGCCCAATGACAAACACCAGAGCCCCGTGCTGCATCCGTTTGTACCGACACCCGCAGCTGGCCATTTTTAACTTCTCCCCCACTGCCACTGCTGCTCTCGGCGTGGTCCTCGTCATGTCGCATATGGAAACATGGTTGTTGCACCTCGGGAGCCACTTCAGCCACCAGTTACTATTAGGTGTAAATTTCGCCATCCCGTATCCGCTCATGCGTCCGCCGGCGCGCAATCGATAGTGCTGACTCCCGCCTGCACCTGCTCCTGCTCCTGCTCCTGCGCGCGCCGTCTTTGGCCTGCAGACCCGTCGCCATGGGAAAGTAGGTGTCCACGTGCTTGTTCAATGCAAATGCAAACTCAATCGCCCGCCACATGCCACGCTGCTTTTCCCACGCTGCTCAACCCTTGCCATGTTGAACAGCACACCGCCCGCTCGTTGCGGCCTTGGCTCATGATGCTCCCTTCCCCCCCTTGAGTCCAGAATCGCTTCTTGTCGGAGCCTCCTCGTAAGGAAGTACGGCCATTTAGCCGCCCCCCATGTCTCTTCGCAAATCGTCCGCCATAGCGCTGCCGTATTATGTACTACCATGTACTGCTTGACGCCGCCATCTCAGCCTTGCCCTCGTATCCTACTCGTCCTCTCCCTCACCCCTGAACTACATACACCTCTCTTGCCCGCCACCTCCAAGTACTTGCTTAGAGTAGGATGCCTCATTCTATACCATCTGCCCGGCCCAGTGTTCCATCTAAATGTAAATGAAGCCCAGTCGCAAACTAAGCAAGGTACCCTGCCCCCATACTCAGGGGTTTACTTGTTCTGTAGAGATTAACACGCTATTGGTTTTGTTGTTTCAGCTTCCCGTTATTGCTTCTGCCCGTCTGGCAACGCCGCCACCGGGGGCCGCTTCCAACTCTGTACATGTATACCTAACATGGTTCGAAGCTCTCTGAAAAAGGGTCCTCGCCCATGTGCAATATGCGAAAATGGTACCCGATCGTCTTGGTCGGTTTCGCCCTCGCTTGGCAATGCTGCTGCAAAAGCTCTAGTATCCTGTCCTGGGCCACGGCCCTGGAGCAAACACATCCAAACTTGATACATACAACTTACAACATCGGCTACATGCATGTGTGCTTTTTATTGTGTCTGTGTCGTGTCAATCGCGTGCGCCGCCAAAGACACATGGGGCGCTTGATGTGGCAGGCCTGCAACGCCTGACTACATACACCTTGTAGGAGTAAAGCTATATTCGGTAAATCATCGTGGCTGCACAGCTGTGCAATCAACAGCTTTGAAGCTCATGACTTTCAATACTTGAACCAACAGCATGCAATTGTCATCGATTACCGTCGACTTTTGTACTTGTCCATGGGGTGCAATCCAAGCCGACGATCAGTGAAAGGCGGAGCACCACTATTGGCCTGGCACATCTCAAAAAAATGTGCTTAGTCACCCAAACCCTCTCTCAACCGCGGGACACTGGACAGGAATGACGCACGGACAGTCACGACAAGTGAAGCCGCTGCAGGTACAATTTACACTCGCACCAGCGAGGAACCAGACCAGAAGTCCCCCTCCGCCTCGGCATTGCCAGAGTCGCAAACACCCATCCTCTCACGCCAGCTTGTTCAACCAAGCCCAGACAAATGCAGGCAGCAGCTGCGCCCGATATATCCCCCGTCTTCCATGTGCGCGTATCATAACCGATCCGTGCTATCGTCCGCTGCCCCTCCACAGCTGCGGCATCGCCTACTCCACCATGGAGCGGCACAGAAAGCGTACGCTCCCGCATGCTGCTTCAAAGACTGCTGCTAACAATGACCAGGAGAGCTGCGTGAACTCAATATTCGCGCCTGGGATGGCGACCAAGGTAAGTGATTCTTCCACGCTGGCAATTCCCCCCACGCTCCTGCTGACAGTACGACAGATGTCTTTGCCGTCCAAGCCTCGCTCGACTCGTCCATGAAAAAGAATACCGCCTTTATCAAGCGCCTTCGAACCGCCATCAACGCACCTGCCCAAGCCCAGTTCCTCCAAGAAATCCGCGCCTTGTCCCTCCATAAATACCTCTCCGAAATTATTTCCGCTTGCTACGAAGGTCTGTGCAAACTCAAGACTCCAGGAGAAATTGCCGCCGGCGTCGAAATTGTCAGTGCTCTGCACCAGCGTTTTGGCCCTACCGAATTCACGGGATATATTGGCTGGTACATTGGGAGGGGACTTGCGACCCCGGACAAGTCACACCTGAAAACCCTCGCACAGGATGTGCGCGAGCGGGAAGAGAAGGAGCGCCTGGCGCGCCAGCGTGTGCTTCTGCGTGTTGCTACAGAACTCTGGCTTGTGGGTGTCTTGCGAAGCCTGGATGACGTAACCCGGCCTGAAGAAGCGAGCAAAGGCAAAGACAATGGCAAGCTTGTTGAAGGCTCAACAAAGACAAAGTCTCGCGCAGAAAACGCGGACGCTGAGCCTTTCCCGCTCGAAGTCTTGAAGGACATGCTGGGGCACGACCGCGAGCACGTCAACTTGCCTTTGGTTGTCATATTTGTCAAGGCTTTTGCATGGGATATACTCGGCACCAAACCACCTTCTGCAGAGGGCCGCAAGACTGTCAATGACGATGGAACTACAGTGCCTGAAAAGAATGGTGATTTGTCTGGCGCTGAGGAAGAAGATGAAGCCAGCAAAGACCCGCCACTTATCTCTCCGGAACTGCAGCAGCGATTCAAAAATATCCTGACCCGCTACTTCGAAGATGTCAAAGCACACCTCCTTCGCGATCAAAAACACATACTTAGCCAAGGCCGCAAGAATGCCGAAGCATATGTCAAGTCTGGAGAGGTCTTTGAAGATCGCCAGTCCAACTACGAGAAGCAGATGAAGTCGCAAGAAAAGCTCATTGCAAATGCTCAAATCTTGGCTGACGCATTGAACGCAGATATGCCAGACTTGAAGGAAAAGGACGGCTCTGCAAACACGGGTGATGGTTCAATTGGTCTAATCAAGGCTGGGGAGTATCTACGTGGCCAAAGTGACGGAGCTGGTATCTGGGAGGATGAGGAAGAACGCCGCTTCTACGAAAACCTGATTGACTTGAAAGACCGTGTCCCGGGTATTTTGCTCGAAGAAGTTAAGAAGAAGAAGGCTGATGGCGACGAGCAAGTGGGCAAGAAAATCGAGCCCAAGACTGAGAGCCCCGAGAAGGAAGCAGCCGACAACGTTGCTGATAGTAAAGTGGCCGACGGGGATGATCAGTCTACTGCCATTGCCAACAAATCTGTTGGCGCACAGGTCGATGCTCTTTTGGCACGCCTACCAGAACTTGCAACCAAGGATGCAGTAGACCAGACCGCAATGGACTTTTGCTTCTTGAATTCCAAAGCTTCACGGAATCGCCTCATCAAGGCTGTTCAGGAAATTCCAAAAGGACGGTCCGACCTGCTGCCTCTTTATTCTAGACTGATTGCAACACTCGGCAAGTACATGTCTGATGTCCCGCAAGGGCTGGTGTCCTACTTGGATGAGGAGTTCAGAAGTCTGCAGCGACGCAAATCCAAAGACTTTCTCGGACAAGTGCGTACACAGAATGTTCGCTACCTCGCCGAGTTGACCAAGTTCGGTGTCGTTCCGGAGCACGTCATTTTCCATTGTCTCAAGGTCAGTCTGGACGACTTTTCACGCATGAACATTGAGATTATTTGCAATCTGTTGGAGAACTGTGGTCGATATCTACTCCGCAACCCGGAAACATCTCCTCGCATGGCTTCTTTCCTGGAAACTCTCCAGCGTAAGAAAGCGGCCCAGGTCATCGGCCAGCAGGAGCGTATGCTGATCGAAAACGCCGTCTACTACGTGAACCCTCCACAACGTGCTGCAATTGAACAAAAGGAACGCACTCCAATAGAGCTTTTCCTACGTAAGATCATGTACCAGGATTTGACCCGTCGCTCGCTCGACAAAACTATCAAGCAGATTCGCAAGATGCACTGGGAGGAAGAAGACGTGGTCAATCTCCTTCACAAGGTGTTTGCAAAGCCAGGAAAGATCAAGTACAGCAACATTCATCTTCTCGCCGTGATGCTGGGAACCATTCATCGGTTCCATCAAGACTTTGCCATTTCTGTCGTCGATGACCTGCTCGAATCCATCACCTTTGGATTGGAGTTGAACGATTTCAAGTTCAATCAGCGGCGGATCTCGGAAGTCAAGTATCTTGGAGAGCTGTACATCTATCGGCTTGTTGATTCGCCTCTTATATTTGACACGCTCTACAAACTCTTGAACTACGGCTGGGAGGGCGGGTATATACGACCTGGAGTCTACAATCCTCTGGATCTCCCAGACGACTACTTCCGCATCCGCTTGGTCTGTAACCTCCTGGAAACGTGTGGCATGTACTACGACAAAGGTGCTGCAAAGAAGAAGCTCGATTTCTTTCTTACCTTTTTGCAGTATTACGTTTGCATGAAGGAGGCCCTGCCTATGGATGTAGAGTTCATTGTTCAGGATGCATACAATCTTGTTCGCCCACAGTGGAAGATGATCACCGACCCAGAAGAAGCTTCACATGCTTTTGCCGAAGCTGTCAAGCAAAACTACCAGACAACAGCAACCGATAAGCCTGTGGAGCCCGATGATGATGATGTTTCCGCGTCTGAGGACGAGTTAGATGGCCCAGACGACGAGGATGTTGAGATGCCAGAAGGGGAAGGCGATAAGTCATCAGGTGAGGAAGAAGACGAGTCAGAAGATGATGAACCTGTCAAGCAAGCTTCGTCCGACGAGGAAGAGGAGCGCATCGTCGTGACACGCCAGGAAGATGAACGCGACCCAGAGGCTGATGCCGAGTTCGACCGTGAGCTTGCTAAGCTCATGTCTGAGAGCGCAGAGTCGCGCAAGCATGATCGGAAGCCTGTATTTGATGTGCCGTTGCCCATGCGGCGCGCCCGAGAGGCTCCAGTAAATGCCGAAGACAGTGGAGGCGAAGCACCGGCTCCAGTTGCTCCACCTTCATCGCAGACTATGAAGTTCTCGCTGCTTAGCAAACGTGGCAATCGCACGCAAACCCGATCTATTGACCTACCTTCAGACTCAACTTTTGCTGTCGCGATGCGCAACAAGCAACAAGCCGATACAGAGGAACGTCAGCGCATCAAGAGCCTTGTTTTGAACTACAACGAAGCTCGCGAGGATGCCGACGACACAACTGGTGATTCACCATTTCTTTACACCCTTCAGCCTAACACCAATGGGAAACATACTAAATTATCTCAAGGTCTGGACAAGACTCCGAATCCATATGCGCAGCCCCGCCTTGACAAGGCCGGTACGAATCGCAGCAACCAGCGCGCAAGAAAGTTACAACTGTCAGATGTCAACTGGTATGATTCCTGTTCTTCCCCTCGAGAAAGTCGCCTTGGGTCTCGCACAATGTCTACCTTCGCACATACTCCGCCACCGGCGTTGGCATCAAAGCGTTGAGGCGTCGTGCTAGTCCAGGCTTCTTACAAATCTCATTTAACTTGCAGTCTACATGAATCCGACTGATTATTTAGGACATGATTATTTGGTCTGTGATGCTACGGCTAGCATCTAATACGAACATCACCAAAACGTGGATGCTTGTCACTGCTACTGCAGAAAGCATACTACTTCGGATGGCAGACATTACCGGTTGATCAGCTCCATGACGATGTTGCGACTGCATTCGACAAACTAAGCAACGGCTTCCATCACAAGACGAACAATGGACAGCGCTCACAACAGAGCGTTGGTCAAGCAGATGGGAACGCCGTGGTCTTTGTGCGCGTAAAGTTGTGGCAGGAGACGAAGACCTTGATGAAGAGCAATGGTGATGAAGTAGTGTCTCTCTACGCGTCGCCTGCCCACCTGGCCCGTTCACGACATGCGACAATATACTTGGCGACATGTATCCGGCTGTGGAACGGTCACGACGGTGTCGCAGCTGGCAATACCCATCAGTCTTAATAGTCTAATACTCTTGCTTGGACAATCTAAAATTGTTATCTTTTCCATCTTCGCAAGCCCTTGATCATACTTAGAGAAGATTTTGTGCCATCTGAGAAGTGCCGAGAGCAGTTTCTATGCATGCTTCCTAGGCTTGAACGCGATGCGCAGCAGACGGCACAGATCCTGAATACATAGGTGTAGATAACACGCTGCGAGTGACGATATCCAAGCCCTTGGCCCTGCCGCGTTTGTGCGGCGTGTTGGACTAGCGCATCCAAAGTACCTAGTGGGACCATGTACGTCATTAAATATGAGAAAGACAACAAAACAGCGCGTCGCCCCATGTCGTGGTTCTTAAATTCCATCCTTGTAGATAGCTGCAATTGGCCCCATAATTGCACGGAAACCTTCTCCGGTGACAGCTCCGATGTTTTTCTCTGCTTTCTTGTTGGCTGCTCCAGCCTCGGCTTTGACATTACCCTCGTTTCTACAGACTCAAGGCCAATCACAGTCACCACTTAGGCCACTTGAGCATTCGCAAAACTACAAGTTCGACCCGCTGCTGCATCTTCCTGGCATATCACCCTACTTCGATGCTATAGGTTAGTGCCTTGTGTTGCGAAACTGACTGTGGAACAATTTACTCATTCTGCAAGCAGGTTTCGGTCTCGAGCACACACCACCGGTAGGCTGCCATGTCACAGCAGCAAGCTACATTATTCGCCATGGAGCTATCTATTCGAATGATGACGAGTACGAAGAGTATATCAGTCCTTTCCTTTGGAAACTGGAGAAGCACAGGCAGGGGTGGTCAGGACCGCTGGCTTTTATGAGCAAATGGCAATCACCAATCTTGGAGGACAAATTGGAAGATTTGACCCCATCAGGAGCGGTAGACGCAAAGCATGTTGGAAAACATCTATTGCAGCGGTATCCACATCTCGTCCCAGAAACAAGGAGAATATTGGCGGACAAGAAGAGTAGGACGTTTGACACTGCCGAAAACTTCATCAAGGCTTTCCCTCAAGAGAATGACATTGAGATTGTGCGCATCACGGAGAACAAGAATGGCTCTATGGAGTACCTCATTCCACACAAGTCCTGCAAGAACTTTTCCAAGAAGCCGGGCAAAAAGGAGCAGGAAAAGGTTATTGAGCTGTACGGCAAGAGCGTTGCGAAGAGGCTTTCGCCGTACGTACCCTTCAAGCTGGAGCCCAAGGACATTGTAGGCTTTCAAATGCTTTGCGGCTACGAATCTGCCATCAAAGGCGAGCGCAGCCCCATTTGTGAGCAATTCACAGACTCGGAATGGATGGCGTACGAGTATGCCTGGGACCTGAAGTATGCTCACATGGTTGGCCCTCTCAATCCACTGTCGCCTTACCTCGGTTTTCCCTGGCTGCAAGCGCAATCCGAACTCTTTGCACATATTGAGAAACACGGCACGCCTGGTGACGGCTGGCCCGATAAGCAACGTTTCTTTCTCGGTTTTACCCACCGTGAAGTACCCCCTTTTATTGCAACAGCCTTGGGACTTTTCAACAGCTCATCCAATGCGGCTGAACAGTTTCCTACTGATCACATTAATTGGACGCGTGCATGGAAAATGAGCGATTTGATTCCCTTCCTTGGGCACGTGGGCATGGAGAAGATGACATGCGATAGAGGAGCTGAACACGGTGACGGTCCCGGTATCTACGTCAGGTTCATTGCCAACACGGCCCCACGCCCAATTCCTGCATGCCAGGACGGACCTGGTGCAAGCTGTGAGTTTGAACAGTTCCGCAAACTTATTGGTGAGGGAGCAAAGGCACACGAGGACTTTCACAAAGTGTGTGATAAGAAGAAGTGCAAGGATGCTGAATGTGTTGATGCGGAATATTGAGGCAGTACATATTCAGAATATCATCTGACCTTTTTTGTACGCAAATTACATGAAATAGTCATGTTTCAGTCTTATTCTGATTTTTGTTATCATATTCTTGCCTTGATAATTCCTGACATCTCCCGGAGCTTAAGCAGGTACAAGATTCGGAGATCCGTTTTCTAGTAATCCAATTTTATATTGTAAATTATCAATGCGCCTGTATGTACCGTATTCGAGCCTGATGTTAAAATTTCTCAAAAGCAAGATGACGCCACGTAGCGCATTGAATCAAATACACTGCCATATCTATGTTCCTAAATCAATATTTACTCTGACAGCGGAGTCATTTGTTTGATAACTGATTCCGGCAGGTTAGCGTGTGGTCTACTATTCTTTTTTGAGATAGACCAAAAAATGATATGCCATACGCTTAACAGATACAAAAACAAGAGTCTATTCCAGAAGAATGGCATAATATCTAGCACCTTCAACGAATGAAACCATGAGAGTTAAGCAATTGGTTACAAGGAAGGGGGGCGTTAGAGGACATGGTGGGGTCGCCACTAAGTTAGTACACGACTTCCCATGCGAAGCACTCTCGTTCCTCAATGCGCGATTCTCACCATCATCACGACCAGCCGCTCTGAATCCATCAAGTCTGAAGATAAATTAATAAACTGCTTCTATTGAATCTACGCGATATTGAAGAGCTACATCATCGCTACAAACACTGGGAGAAAGAGGGTTGAATATTCTAGAGAGCCTTGATGGCACAAACGCCACCTTTCCTCGCCTTGCCAGGGGAAATCAGAAACCAAATTGTATCCTATGCCTTCCATCGCGCGCCGGGCAGTATACCAGCCTCGAGCCTCTCCAAAAGTGCCGTGGCACTCGCATGGACCTGTCGCCAGCTATACGCCGAGTACGCCTCTCTCGCGCGCTCACACAGCGCCATTTACCCACTCAAATGGTTGAGCGCCCAGCACCTAGCAGAAAAAACACAAACCCTGCTCACGACTACTTGCGCAGCGCAAATCACCAAGCTGCAAATTCTCCTACCAGCATGCCTCGGAGAACTGTATGTCTGCGATTTGTCGGCAACATCGCGTCGACGCGTAAAAGGGTTCCACTTTGCTGCCGCGGGACTACCAAACCTAGAAGAGCTGTATTTCCGGTTTCAGAGCCCAGATTCTCCTGGGAACGGCGATGGTAGGGGTAGCGGTGGCGCGGGCAGAGAACTTGTAGTACACATGCTGTGGCGTTTGTTGTGGGAAAAAGACTTGTCGCGTCTCAACAAAATCTGTATCGTGCACGATGGAGCGCAGCCTTTTCTTTCACTGACGCTACTGCATGGCATGCTGGTCACCTTCAAGCCGTTATATGTGTCGCGCAGATGGCATGTCAAGTCGGATTTTGAACATGGACGGTTGGTGTTTGTAGAGAAGTCGGGGAGTAAGACAAAGAGGAGGATCGCGGTGCTTGTGGGATATAGCTTTCGTGAAGCGGAGGAGTATGTAAGCGTGTGTGAAGATATTATAGAGGTATGTTATTTCTTTTCCATCATCTCCCAGGTAAGCGTTCAAGCAGGAAAGGCTGCGAGTCTGGCTGCAGCACCGCGAATCGACGGTCAATTTTCCTCTTCACTTATGTTGACTTCGGAGTCACAGGACAAGCATGCTGACATTGTCATTGCCCGGCGGAGAGACTGCAAATACGTGGCTCCTTTAGAAGAGGTGACAGATGCCCAGTTGAGACAGGAAGTTGATAATCTGCACACTTTATTTCCAGTATCTGCGACTGAAGAACCTTTGTTGCAGCCACATCTTGAAAGAATACGTGCTAGGTGCCATCTGAGTAGATAGAGACTAGAGAGAAGCTACATGTCCTCAATTGTTGTCTGCACGATCAAAGATAGTCTCCGAAATAGTCAAAGAATGGCGAATTACAAAGATACCTATCACTGTGATCACTTTGCTCAGAGCGTGGGCATGCTCAATCGGATTTTACCAAGATTCCCATCGATGACACACTGACCTTGAAAACTTCTGCCATGCTCCCAAATCGGCAAAAGTCATATGACAACCGGATTTGCCAGTCGTCACAGAGGACCCGAGTAGCCATGTCGATCCTACAAAATCCTCTTCATTTCCACGCGTCACCATCAAGCCATCTCCACGCGTACATGAGCCGCCACACGACGGCAGCAAGCGCTCCACAGCTCTCCTCGGAGTGCCCCACGGCCGGTTAAATTACATGTCCGTTTGGCACGTGGCAACGTAAGATGGGAAATGAAGATGAAGTCCAGCTCTCAGGATGCGATGAACGCGGTGTCGGCGACTCTGATGAGTCCACAAACCTCGTATTCAGTGGGTTGGTGTTGATCCCATCCCACGGGGCATCTGCCGAGGTCAGAGTCTGGGTCTTTCAAATCAGACCAGAGTCCAAGGACTGAGCGAAGAGGAGCGCTAGCGGACGGGAACGAAGGGTCGGGACGGAATGGCACGGATCGACATGGTCGATGTGGACGAAATGGTGTAGAGAAACCAAGTGGCAAGTGTTGAAGGATGCCTCCCCCGCGCCACACGGCGGCCAGTAAGAATGCCTATGACGACCCGTCTCATGATTCCAGGGGCTCAATAGCCCAGAACCGTCCCGTCATACTGTCCGTGGAGTTCGCACTGTGGCTTCCTTTCTTGGCAGTGGAGACAACCATTGTCCATGAAGAGTTACCTTGTACCCTGGTTTTCATCAGCAGCCACTAGCCAGGGTCTCGACAGATGTTGTTCGGCGAACTCGGGCAATTTCCTTTCTGTTTCATGTCAGGTGTTCAGTCGCGTGGTGATGTTGTGGACGAGGCTCCGCCGTAAAGACTAGTTCAAAATGTCCATCTAGAGTCATCCAGACCTATCAATCGGTCTAGCTCTCGCTTGACCATGTTGTGGGACGGGCCGATGGCGTTTGGGCATCTCTTGGATCCTACTGAGCTCAGGTCCTACACTGCATGTACCTACACCGTTACTGACACATTCGCTCAGGATTGGATCCGTGCCGTAGCGGGCTTCGGTGGAGTCGAAGGCTGTTTTCCTGATCGTCTCTGTAAATGGATCAACAGTCTCTAGTTTTCTTTTTTCTCATGCATGCTTGTATCGATTGTCAGCCGGTAAAGACTTTGCGATCATTCTGCTTCTAATCAAGAGGCGGACAAAAGGCGGACACGAGAAAGACAAAGCATCGCAGGGCAAGGCAAGGCAGATCGCACTAGCTGCGAATGTACTTTCCGTGCTGTAGCCTCGGAACTGCTAGATACCAAGAGACCGAAGAACTATTGAATAGATCCAATCGTTTGGTACTGTCAGTGTTGATGGGGTTGGACGTTGCGGGAAGGATGCCAAGTCGAACGACTGGGGAATCAGCTCGATAAGAGGAAAAGTTAGCGAGCATTCAATATAATTGACATGCACTCCGGTAGTGTTTGGCCCCGAAACGCGGCACATGGTGGTCGGAGGAGCGGATAGTTGAGCCGGATTCGCTCGAGTACAGTCGACTACTACCAGGCACGTGGATGTTGGTCCCAGCAGTCTGGTAAGCTCTCGACTACATACAGGCCTCGGTGCTCTCTTCCCCTCTAATGGGTGCATGTGGGGGCAGTGCGCATGCTGTGCCGCCATGCCGTACAGAGCTCACCGTTCCTGCATGGAGGCAGCAACAGCTGCGCGTGTGCATGACACGACAATGCGGGCTTACAGTACCTGCGGCAGACAAGTCCAGTACTACTACGTACGTACTACTATCTATCGATAAGCAGCACACGCCACCACATGACATCTTGTGCAACCCCAACCACGCAGCCAGGCGCTATGGCGCCAGCACGGCAGAGCTGAGATATGGCGAGGCCGAGGATTTGGCCAACATGTTGCAGACCCCTAGTAGTAGTACGCTCGCGCCAGTGTCGATCGCTAAAGATAGGTAACGTACGGCACTACTTACCCTTGCCCTAACTTTCCTCATTCGAGCGGCTTGGCCGAGCATAAGCGTTACTCACCTACGACCCGTGCACCATCCTTTCAGGCGCCATGGCGTCAGAGTCGTTAGGTCATAGGCTACATTCAGGGCCCGCGTACAAGGTTCGTCCAGAGCGTAAGCAATGGAACGGACCGTCATTGTCTAGTATCTGATAAAGGGTGTTTATCGGCGTAAGGCTGGATAGGTGCAAAGCTTTGAAGATCGGTATGACGTTGATGCTGATCCTTTCGAGCTCCCCATTCTCGTCCCAACACATGAGAGGCCCGTTGGGAAATAATAGATTTTGTCAAGCAGGAGCTCCTCAAGGCGAGCAAATAGTGCGGTTGAAAAGGCTGAGAGTATGCTGAAGTTTCGAGATTAGGCAGCATAGGCCTCCCATTTTCACATTGCAAGGCCAACACAGCCCACTCCTTACAAAAGCTGCTTGCCTTGATGACAGAGAATCTGCTTGGATTCGCTTCGTATTTGCTAGCCCCGAGGCGACAGATGTGGCGCCATTACGGTGACAAGCCCTGATCCTCAAAACTGAGCTTTTTTAGACCTCGGAAAACCCAATAATGGCGTGGGTGTACGGACAGTCGACAAAGGCTGATGCTTACTACTTCAATCAGTATTCGTCTAATAGAAAACAGAAGATACAACACCGGCATTGGTCTAAAGAATACTGCGATCAGCATCGATCTAATCCCTTGACATGACCAGCATTTCAAGTCCATGACTGCGCGTGGCCAACCAATGAGGTGCTCTTCTATTTAGCCATTTGAACCGCACTGGCAGCAATAATAGGCGATTACGATGTGGGGCGCTGAAAGTCGGGTCATCTCGGTTACGCGACCTGGGTGCAAACACTACGCAAGATAGGGATAGTAGCAGATAGCACTAGCAACTGCAACACCATCGATGGATGCTATCACATGATTTCTTCGCATTAGCGCGCTGAAGGAACACTCAACGGACATGATGAAGAGATGGCTCAGAGGCTCGGCGGACCATGTTCAGTACTCGATGACTTGATTGGAAACATTGACAGCAGTAATGTAAATTTGCTTGCGTTGTTGGACTCCATCGTCCAGCCTTATACATGGAAATCTCGTACATTTTCGACTACCTTGTTGTATTTTACATATCGTAAAGCCTAAGATGGATAGGAGATAGTCCAAGCGAAATGGTTTGAGTGTAGTGTCTTTCTGAACGAGCAGGGTACTGGTTGATAGTGCGAATAGTTCTAAATATACGTATAGAATGTGTCGAGGCAAAAACGGTATACTGCAGTTTCCAGGGTCCTTGACGCTGACCAGTGGCTTGAACGCTACGTCGTAGCATCGTTACGTGACTGCCGTTGCTATTTTCAAAGATGAGAGTATGGTGACTTTTCACACACCATGCCACCTCCCAGCCCAGATTGAAGGATCGTATTGAATTGTCCTGATAGAACGGTGGTTAATTCGGGAATCGTAGGCTCAAACATCCAATTTGGCATGGAATAGGGCAACCAGTCTTGCGATGACAGCTGACTACCGGAATAGCAACCAATGTTGTTGTAATAAGATGTCGGCTCCGCCAACGTCTGCTGATGTAATAGCGAATAGCCAGAATCTGGCCACGATGCTGATGGCGTAAAATGTGACGTACTTGCGTCGTCTCGCATAGCCAAAATTTGTGATGGTGTTGTGTCACTGAGATACGAGCCGAATCCGTGCTCAATCGACGCCGATATCTCTTCGTACCATGTCTGCGGGCATGAAACGTGGTCTGCGGAGTGAATCATAGTTGTAGGCTCGTGGAATACCATAGGTTGAGGCGTGGGCGGCGAGAGGCCACCTAGACTCGGAATGTTGCTCGTCCACATTGTCTGATCCGAGCCACCCATGATTTGTTCGGAAAGTGCCATGGACAACTGACTCTCTTCAACCATATATGGTATTTCCATCAGTAGGGGAGCAGGTTCGGCATGTACAGGGAGTGATAGAGTTTGTTCATCCGTTTCTAGGGCACTTTGGGAATTGCATGACATGTGTCGCACATGTCGACTGTCGCCCAAAGGTGGCAAGTGTTGAGGCGAATCTGGCATATCAACGAGTGAGAGAGCACCCAGAGAGTGACTCTTTACTAGTGAATGTGATTTTTTCCGATTGTTTGATCGATGCATGTTTACAGAGGTGCGGCGAGTCGATCGGGGTTCACAGGTGATGCCTTTGGTGATGCAGCGCGAACATGAAGGTACCTTGGGAGTGAGCTTTGCGAGAAACCATGTCCTTCCAGGAAACACATACTGCCTTGTTACACTTTGTCTTAGCTTTGGCACACGTCACGCAAGCAATCGCTCTTCTAGAGGGTAATCTAGCGTATGGATTTCGTAGCTGCGGCTCCGATGTCATGTTGTACGAGGGGTCGTGAACAATCTCGGAATGCTCGGGACTCATAGTTCTGGATCGATGTGATAGTAGAGGTAAAAGTGCACGACTGATTGATTGTGTGCCGAAGAAATAAGAGTCGTTTTATGCAGGAGGCGAGAGACGCAATAGAGGCACCAGGATAGGCTAGAAAACGGGATTCATCCTCGCCAGCAGCCAGGAACCGAGTCAATGATATACTAGTCCAAACGGAACGGAGTAAGGCCTAGAAATCCCAAAAGGCTGCATGCAGTAGCTGACTAGCGAAGGTTCGGCACGAAGCGAGCCAAACTAATCATAGAACTAGTGTACATGCCTTTTGTTAGGAGTGAAACAGTGTGGAGGGTCCATTCTGGTGCCGATGAGGCGTTTTCCGCACTAGTGGAATCGAGGCTGAGCCCGAAAATGTAGACATTCCCTCATGAGACCTTGTCCCTGATTACGGTTAGATACAACGCCACAACGGACGTACTTTGAGCAAGGGGGTATAGTAGGCTATATTTTAGTAAGTTGGCGCTGGCATAAGCTTGTGTGTATGCTAAGAGAATTTGCAATTCTCAATTCTAACAAGTTTCGAAATAGCAGTCCGTACCCATTCTAGCTATAATATAGGCGCATTTATATCAACACTAGTTATTAGATAATATTATATCTATTATAAAGAATAATTAGCTATAGTATTTCTAATTAAGGTATATAAGAAAAGGGTTTAGAGATTAATCAGAATTAGTAAGTAAACTAGTGACTCTGTGTTACACGGGGTTGGGATCTATACTTCTCTGTCCTGGTCCGCACTAAGGCAGGCGAGTATTACGCTAGTGTTCCGTGAGAGTTTGTCTGGCGATGCAGTGGAGTGGTGTGCTTGAATAGAAGGTAACGAAAGGTTTGACAACTACTAATCTATATTGAATTTACTAACGAGTAACAATCTTGTTAAGTAAAGTAACTAGTAAGAAAGTACAATTTGAGTTGACC